TTGTCATCTAATGTGGTTGGAGGCTGATATTCTTCCTCTACACTATACCAAATTTTAAGATCTACCGACTCAAGGAAAATTTGCATCCTAGTTTTCCAATAGGGATAATCGATCTCATTGAAAAACGGAGGACGGTTGGTGGAACCACCCTCAAGAGGAATATTCTGATGGAAAGAAGCCATAGGATATTTAACTCTTTGGCAGATGTCTAATCACTCAGAGCACGAAGCTCTGATACCACTTGTTGGGCAAGTGGCTTCTTACATAGGACGTTTACGGAACACCTAGAGGGGGGTGAATAGGTGTTCTAAACTTTTTCAAAAAAAATTTCTTAGTAGATTCTTAAATTTGTAAAATCTAGACAAAGTTGAACAATTAAGCTCAATCACCACACCAACTAACTAGTTGACAAAAATCAATTTATATTACTATTTGAATTCAGTAAACAATTACACAATTTTTCTTCAGTCCCTATATGTCCAAAATAATTTTTCACAATGCTAAGAACAATGAAGTAACAGAAAACGTACCTTAGCAATTTATAGAGTATAAATGCAGCAATGTAATTTTCTTAAACAAAACAGAAAAATATTAATTCTGCTACAGCACTTTTAAACCAGAAATTAGGGTTACTTTAAGTCTCTAAACAGAATATTCAGAAATTAAATCATAGAGACAAGAGACACACGATATATCCTGGTTCACACCCACTAAGTCTAAGTAGGGTGTTACGTCCAGACTGAGGTCGTTGCAGATATTTTATTTATCACAAGTGTACCTGTTTTACAAACACGTGTCACAAGCAATCAAACGAAATATCAAAAACCTTCCTAGTGCCTACACTGCTACAAGCTCTGAGAAATTTCTCAAGCCTACGGAGTTCATCAACTCCTCTCACACAAAACCTCCACTCTCTTCAGTGGATTCTTGAGGCTCTAAGCCTTGAGACATACTCTCAAGCCAAGCACAAGGTTGCCAACCCACACGGTTTCACCCACACACCTAGGACAGATTTACAACACGCAACAACTCCACTTTAACAACCAATACAATATCTCAGATTTATACCAGAAAATTTATCAACCTATTACAATGTCCTATCACACTTGATATAACAAATAAGGCATAACAACAAGCTCCAAAATGATATGATGTATGCAGAAAATTTAGAGCACAAGTATATGTATCAAAAACTACAAATTTTCAGCAATAAGGAACTTGTATTTATTTATATCAAGTATCTAAATGATGGACACTAAAAATTCTGATTTAAACAGAAATTATCACACTATATCCAGAAAAATCATAATTGTAATTTCTCTCAAAATTTCACAAAAAATTCAGAATTAGTTCTAGATAAATCTTTTAGTAATAAACCACAAGAAATCTGAATTTTAAGCACAATATACCTCAATTAAAACAGAAAATTCATATTTAATATTCCAACAATAAAATTTCTAGAACAATTCAAGATTAGACTTCTAAACAATAAATCCTAAACAAAAATCTAAATTAACACAATGTATATAAAAAAAATTCAGATTTAATATATATTTTTTATTCAATCTTTCACAAAAAATTAGAAACACAAATCTTATACAAAGAGCATCAAGATTTCTATTATATTCACTTAATATCAAAACAAAGAAATCGAAATACTCACAATATATCAAAAAAAAAACAGAAAATCAAATCAACAATATCAAGTCCCAAGAGTATACCAAAGGATGCTCAGAACAAGGTTTAACATATTACCTCAACAAATCTCAAATTTTAAGTAAAGTAAAACATAAAATGTGGTTAGGGTTCTTCAACCTTTGTTCCAAGAATCTTGAATTAAATGCTTCCAAATGGTTGAGAACTTATCAAAGAGCAGAGATGGTGAGAGCTTTGAAAATATTCTTGCTTCCAAAACTATTGAGAAACTTTCGAAGAACACATACGATGATAGAGAGAAAACGAGATTGAGTTTTTTTCGAGAGCGTAAAAGAAAAAAATGGGTACTGAGAAAGTCTGAAAGATATATATGTGTAGAAAGTTTCTCTCTCTTTTTTATTATTATATACAACAAAATTCTTATCACTTTTTGATTTACGAGAAAGATGCAATCGGTTGCTTTTTACACTTTTTATAAAAGCTACTGATGGGTTTTATATTTTTATTTTAATAAAAATAAAACTTAAGACAAAATTAATTTTATATTCAATTTAATGTAACAAACCCACGTGACCATAATTTTTTTTAATCTAACTAACTTATATATATATATATATATATATATATATATATATATATATATATTTCGAAAAGAAAAACACGGACAATCAGTTACGTGACAGATGTTTATTATTTTTCAAATTGGTAAACAATCTTTTGATGAGTTTTATTATTAGTACTTTTACCTTTTTAATTTTTATTAAAACATTTTTAATTGACTTGGATTTTATTTTTAAAGATCTGTTTATTTAATTTTTTTAATAAGTCACTCAACATAGCTAAATACATGTTATGCAATGAAATGCAATGCAGCTTGGGATCATGCTTAGTGATATATCTAATGTGTTACAAGGAATCTAAAAATTATCTAACCTGAAACTTTAGCATCTTCAAAATGAGTTCTTCATGCTTTGACATCATCAAAACCATTTAGGCATAATCTACTTGAATTTAGGAGGTCCCTCATAAAGCACTCCAAGATGAAGGAATAAACGGGTTTTGACCACAAGACCAAGGGCTACAAGTTTTATGTAATGAGTTTTTGCTAAAAAAGTTACTTAAACTCAATCTACCAAGCTTCCTCTTTCTTCCATGGTGTCCACAGTTTTGAAGATAAAGATAGTGCAGATTTTGATCTTGAAATAAGGAAAGAATGACTTAATAAACTTTAGATATTTACTTAGTGTTTCAATCTTTCAAGCTATCCATTCATTGGTCCATTTGTCTTATCATTTGACTTGTCATCTAAGTAATACAATCTTCTAGAATGTTTGGTCTCTTGCAACTAATGAATTTGGCGTGAAACACATAGCATCATAATCGATTTATATAGCTGAAATATCAAGCCAAACAACTTGGTTATTAAATTACTCATCTAACCTACAACTTTTGACTTTCAAACTAACTTCTCATTGGTTCATTCATCTTTAGACTTTCAACATAAATTTCTATTGGTTCTTTATTTCAACCAAGACCTTTTGACACTTAAAATCACTACCATTGGCTACTTTTATTGACTACTTGCTATGACACAAAGTGTAGCCAATTACATGAAACCAAGTGAGTAAATCTTTACATGTCACCTTTGAATTTCAAACTTAAATCCTATTGGATTATTCCTATCAACATTTGACTTCCTTGACTTTAATAATACAATGATAGAAGGAACTCATGTAGTCACCGAATATGTATAGGAATTTCACAATGATACAAGTAATACAATGAGAAAGGAACACATTTGACTTCCTTGATTAATTCTATACTTTGACTTAATTTTAGGAATTAATCTAGACACCATTTGTCTAAAATAAGATCACTTCTATCTCATAAAATTCAACAAACAATTTAATTATACAATTCAAATCAAGTTTAGACTAAGTTTTACGTATTTAAAAATTAGTCCCTAAACTTTAGCATAATTATACTTTGACCCCAAATATTTCATATTAATTTCATTAATATCCTATTTGACTTGTCTGGCATGAACTGTATCATTCACTTAATTATCATGTAAATTATATGATATCGCTCACTGTTTTCTTAAATAAGTGTTTAACTCCATTAAACACTTAATTAATTTACTATCAAATATTTTGACGGGAAGAGTTGTTATACAAAGCCTCAAAATAACCTTCTCCTATCCTGGAGAGAGCGCTAAAACGTGCTAAGTGTCTTAGAAATGTCATTTCTCTCGATTTGGGCACGCTAAAGAGTGCTATAGGGCGCTAAAGCGCGCTAAATATGAAGAAAATGGGTTCAAAAAGCGTGCTAAAGCGCTACCTAGAATCAACAGAAACATACATTAGTAAAATAGTTATAACTGGAGCTATAAAACTCCAAAGTGAGTGTGGTTTGAACCTATGCGAAGCTAACACAAACACCTACAATCTTACAAAATTTTAGGACCATTGGATGTGCAAATTAAATCCATTTTATTTTGAATCTGGTGCTCTATTTCTGGAAGTCCGGTTGGGAACAACTAACTAGTGAGTTGCATAACTCAGGTTATACTTAACCAAATGATTAATGTTAAACCTTTTCGAAAAGCCCAAGGTATCTAGTTTAATATAGTAAAATATTAGAGCTTGTGGTGAGGTTGTCATATAATTTTCAACTTGTAATTGGTAATGATGGTTCAGTGCTAAATACGATTAAAAGGCTTATCATTTTAATTTTTAATTAATAAAGAACACTACATAATACCATTATTTGAATCTAACATCTATGATTCCCTAACTTGATATGGTTATGTTAATTAATACATAAGAGGATCTAATCTCGTTGTTTTGGAATTGAATCTTCTCATATTTTAATTAACATGATCACGTCATGTGGAAAAATTTTAACCATACAAAAAGAAAGAAAGAAATGAACTGCCATAGTCTAGATAGATATCAATAATAAAATAAAAAAATGTTTGTAATTTTCAATGACACAATTTTGTGTCATTTTAAGTAAAGTCATTGTGTTTTGATATATATTTAGTGGTTTTTTTATAAATTTTTTCTCCTTCATAGTAAAAATTTAAAAAATATTTTTATCCTACTAAAACTTATTTTTAGTTTAGTTCTTATAAAACTATTTTTAATTCAATCCCTGCATATATATGTTTAATTCAGTCTTTTGAAAAGGCATGACTCCCCCTAAAATATCAAAATATTACCCTGAGCATGGGTTATGTTCCAATGGGCCGGGGCCTAAACTCGGCCCATCATTATTAGTCTTCTTGTTGTCCAAGCAGCCTGCAGTCAACAAATACACTAATCACTGCTTTTCTTAAACGTTAAAGAAGAAAAATTAAGCTTTGGAATCAAAACAGAGAAGCAGAAGAAGAAGAATGGCAAGGTATGACAGAGCAATCACTGTATTCTCACCCGATGGCCATCTCTTCCAAGTCGAGTATGCTCTCGAAGCCGTTCGCAAAGGCAACGCCGCCGTCGGCGTCCGCGGCACCGATAACGTCGTCCTCGGCGTCGAGAAGAAATCCACCGCCAAGCTCCAAGACTCCAGGTTTTATTTATTCTCATTCTTTTGAATTTAGCATTTCTTTTCGTATTTAAAAAATAGATCCATTTCTCATCGAATAGGCATAAATCTGATGGTAGGGATACTGAGAATAGGGTTTTTGCTTTGCAGAACGGTGAGAAAGATTGTGAATCTGGACAATCACATTGCACTTGCATGTGCAGGACTAAAAGCCGATGCACGTGTGCTTATAAACAGGGCACGTGTTGAATGCCAAAGTCACAGACTCACTGTTGAGGATCCCGTCACTGTTGAGTACATAACTCGTTACATTGCTGGTCTTCAGCAGAAGTACACACAAAGTGGTGGTGTGAGACCCTTTGGTCTTTCCACCTTGATTGTTGGCTTTGATCCTTATAGTGGTTCACCTTCCCTTTACCAAACGGATCCTTCTGGAACGTTTTCAGCTTGGAAAGCTAATGCAACTGGAAGAAACTCCAATTCTATTAGGGAGTTTTTAGAGAAGAATTTTAAAGAAACTTCTGGCCAAGAAACTGTCAAATTGGCTATCCGAGCATTGCTTGAAGTGAGTTCATTCGTTCTTCTTTTAGTGTTTGTGAATGAATACCTGAATAGAGAATATAGACATGTTTGAATTTTTCTGTCTTTTATTGCTGTCAATGACTTGGGAGGAACCTCTAAGACTGTCTTCAGTTCTTTATTTTTGCGAAATTAATGAATTGGAAGAAACCTTTATTGAAACATTTGATTTCAAATTAGGAGGAACTTTTGGATAAATTACTTACTTGTAAGAGAGATACACATTCATATGCTTCATTTTGGGGGTTTGAGATGATGTGACTTTTGCTATTAGTTTAGACTGGTCTGAAGTAGCCGTCTTCGTACATTTGAGATCTCATCTCTGTCTGATTCTTTGTATAGAGTATACACAGTTTCTTGCTAGATATGGAAATTAACAACAGTTTCTGTAGTACATCGAACTTGCTATATAATATAGACATATAGCTCTGTCTTTTTGGTATATTTATCTTTGCATAGATTAAAGCTCAAATCTTATGCACTGATTTATGGAGGCATTTACCTGTGTTTTAATATATAATTTGTGCCTAAACTTTCACTTACATTTTATGATATTCCTAGCTTTCGAGTCCTGTTCATTGAACCTGTTTGTTAACTGTCTGGTACATTATTTGTACTCTATGCAAGTAAGCATACCATACACACTCAATTTTAACCATCACTACCACTTTACTCAGGATTGTGTAGAATGTCATTTTAAACTCTTCAGATGTCTAATAGTTCCCAACTTTCAGATTGTTTATGTATTAATATGTAATATTGACCTTCTAAGCATTCATGATCATTTCTGTACTAGAATGTAAGAGTGTACACATAACCAGAAGGAATATATGAAAATCTCGAAGGCTGTGTAATATATTTATTAGGGATTCGTGGTTCACTACTTCACACTTGGTTGAAAGGGTCTTCATCTAGAAAATTTAATAGAAAAATAAAAAGGTGTTTAACGCAGATAGTCTCAAGAGATGATGGTATGCGTTTTTCTTATTTTTATTTCTAAATTTCTTACTCTTGCATATTTGCAAAGAGGTCGTTTCTCGGATTCGAATCTATGCAGCTTTACCACTGCTCTAGGCTCGCCCTCTTATTAACGTCTACTTTACAAATTGACTAAAATTACAAGGACAGTGACATAACAGTATAAGATTATTTATGGAATATTCTGTTAAACTAAAAGTTTAAGAATTACTACAAATGTCCCTTTTATTAGCATGGAGGATGCAGTATTGTGTTCAACTTTGAAATTTAAGCTTATGTTGCTGTACTTCACAACCATGGAGCTTAATTCTCCCCCTTTTTTACGACATAATTTAGGTATTTTTGGTAAAATATTTATTTTTTAGGAACAGTGAACCAAACTAGTGTTTAACAATGCTCTGTAATTGGTTAATGGGTTGACCATATATTGACTTAAGTAAGCACAAGTCTGGTTAATTGTACTTAACAGCAAAATAATTTTGTTAGGAATTCTTAAGTTGTTATTCGCTTTTGTATTTTTTAGCTCCAAGGCCCAGAACTCTTAAGTGATCCTATTTTTAAGGTGTGTTATGCATACTTGGTAGAGGGAGACATCTTGAAGAATTTTTTTGGTGCATGAAGAAATTTTTTATTATAGAAGTATGTATACATATGTACATGTCTTGTTTGCATTCAAAGCCTTTATGTGTATGGTGTGTTATTCGCACTTAATACTTGCAAGGGTAGGGGTGAGGATCTGATGGAACCTAGAGTGACAATAAGAACAACATTGTATTTGATTAATATAAACTCCCAAACAGAGTTGCAATTACGGACTCCAATATCACAGTGACACTACTGGGCTCAGAACACAGACTCCATTCCTCTATTACAATATGAAAATACTAACAGTAACAATAACCAAAATGACAATGCAGAAAAATAAATGAAAAGATCTTACTCACTCTCCAAGACCAATATACCTAGGCTCCAAAGAGATCCCAAGAGATCCTTTCCCCAAACCCCACTCCAAATTCACTGAATACATACCCCTTTTCACACTACACACACTCTCCTTTTATCCTAACTCTCAGATTATTCTAGAACTTTCCTAACTAACTAACCACTCATCCCTTTCAGCCTATAGGCTCATCAATACTCCCCTTTTAAAACTCACCTTGTCCTCAAGGTGAAGGAAGAGGACAAGTAACGTGAGAGAGTTTCCATCAGGGTCCCATTGTTTGGAGCATCTTGACCACAAGTCTTGAGTGATTGTCAATTTTGTCCATGGCAGTACCACACCCTTCCACAGTCCTTGATTGTCGACCCTCTGTTCATCTCTAACTTCCACAAAGTATGTTTTTGTCTTGACCATCGAAAACATCAATTCTTGAGCCACTTGTATTGCCAGGAAATTAGGGGCAGCTCCTGTGCCTATTAACACAGCAACCCTCCTCCCTTCGATTTTTCCCCAAACCCTAAATGGTCCATTAGAAGATACCCCATCATCCTATACATAGTTAGCTTGAGGTATGTCTCTTCTTGGTCTTCCTTACCCATCATGTCGTCCTTCCCGGGATTCATGTCGTCAGCCTCTATACCACCCACATTTGCAGCTCTAGACATGCCCATTACGCTTTGCGTGCTCAGTTTTATCGAAAGACCTTCTCCCTCCTCATTGTGAGTTTGCCTCTTCCTCTTCCTCTTCCTCAATAGCTCCAACTTCGTCTTGTTTTTCTGTCATCTTCGGTGTAAGTTGCCGGAACCTTGCTCTCCATCGCTCGCTGCCATCAGTCGCTTTACTTGCACCGCTGCGTGCGAACGAGTTTGTAGTCCAACGATCGTTGGAGTTTTGCATGTTGCTGCCCTGCACATTGCCAATTCCGCTACACCGCCATCGATCGTCCATCTTCTCCACTGTCGGCCATAGGATTCTCGCGCGCTGGTCACTGTAGTTGTCGTTCTCCGCTAACTTTCCTTGTGTAGCCCTTTGCCCCTCACCCATGGCACCTGAACCCTGCCCAAGAGTAAGATGGGTGTCAGTGGGCTGTTTTTGTGGCCCAACACTCCTATTTCCTCCAGTAATTAAATTGTACCCTTTTTGTAGAGCTCTGGGCCCATTTCGTTTGCTCGGCCCACTACTTCCTTTAGTAACAAGCGTGGCCTGCCCCTGTAGTTCTTCGGTATTTCTGAAAGTGAGCCATGCACCATTATCAGTTGTGGCACAATTTGTTAATGCATTCTGGTTGTATGATTCAGTCCCATACCCAAATTCACTCATCCCAATTGAAGACCTGAATCTTTCGCTAACCTTTTCCTTCTTTTTGATTGCATCGTCTTCTTCTTCGTTTTTCGTTTTTTTTTTTGTCTTCCTCTTTTGTTGCTTTTCCTTTTTTGGTTCTTTTTCTTCTTTTTTCTCTTCTTCACCTTTCTCTTGGTTTTTTCACTTCTCCAATTTGTTCTACTTCTTTTTCTGGTAAACTGATGTGAAGACGAATCTCTGCCCGAATGTCCTCCTGAGCATCCTGCGTCATCTCCTCATCTGCATCTTCTTCGTCTTTGGTTTTTGCGTCTTCTTCTTTCTTCACCTTTTCTTCTTTGGCAAGTTCTTCTTCTGCAACCTCTCCCTTTTGTTCATCTATATCTTCTGCATTTCTATTGTTTTTCCCTTCGTCTTTTTTCTTCTCCTACTACTTCACTAATTTCGTCTTCATTTCCCCCTTCCTCTTCTTTTGTTCTATCTTCTTTGGCTTCTTCCTCTTTTTCTTCTTCTTTTTTGTGTTTTTCTGCAACTTGCTCTTCTACTGCATCACTTGCTTCTACCGTTTTTCCTATTTCTTTATCGTTGGCTGATGCTTCTCACTTTGCTTCTTCTTTCTCGCTTCTCATTTTTAGTTCTTCTGCAAAACAAGGATCGATGCGCCCTATTAACGAATGAATTGTTTCCTGCAGTTGACGAAAAGCATCTTCAACTCCATCCATTCTTACTTCCAAATGATCAAAGCTCCTCTCAACCTTCGTCAATCTATATTCCTTTTTTTTTTTTTTTCAGATCTGGAACATAAGCACTCTCAGGATTGTAGTGCTTTAATACCGATGGAACCTAGAGTGACAATAAGAACAACACTGTATTTGATTAATATAAACTCCCAAACAGAGTTGCAATTACAGACTCCAATATTACAGTGACACACTACTGGAGACACTACTAGGCTCAGAACACAAACTCCATTCCTCTATTACCATATGAAAATACTAATAGTAACAATAACCAAAATGACAATGCAGAAAAGATAAACCAAAAGACCTCACTCACTGTCTAAGACCAACATACCTAGGCCCCACATACCTAGGCCCCAATGAGATTCCAAGAGATCCTTTCCCAAAACCCCACTCCAAATTCACTGAATACATACCCCTTTTCACACTACACGCACACTCCTTTTATCATAACTCAGATTATTCTAGAACTTTTCTAACTAACCACTCATCCCTTTCAGCCCATAAGCCCATCAGGATCGATTGTACGCGGTCTTATCTTTACATTTTTGTAAAGAGATTGTTTGTGAGACTCGAACCAAGGACCTTGTGCTTACAAAGAGCAATCTTACAGTTGCTCCAAGGTTCACCCTCACACTTCCAACAATATTTCAAATTCTTCAAATATTGTTAGACCAATGACTAATGAAACCTGATAGTTGTATATTGGCTTGTACAATCAAACAATGAATAGTTCAAGTAATTCTTCGTATTCCTGTTACATATTTACAGTAGTATTGTGGATTAGTTGCTCATTGTACATTTGGAACTTTATCTGATAAATATACTTCACTTTTGACTTTTCCTTGTCGGCATATGTATTTAGGTTGTTGAGAGTGGAGGCAAGAACATAGAAGTTGCTGTGATGACTAAGGAGCATGGTCTGCGTCAACTGGAGGAAGCTGAAATTGATGCCATTGTTGCTGAGATTGAAGCAGAGAAAGCAGCTGCTGAGGCTGCAAAGAAAGCCCCACCTAAGGAAACTTGATTTTATGTATCTTTAGTTCTGTATTATGCGAGCATTGTTCTTGCAAGGTGTTGGCTGTACTTACCAAAGTTAAAATTGATGTCATTTAAAATTGGAACAGAGAAAACAGCTGCCGAGGCTGCAAAAAACAATCCCTTCTAACGAGACATGATTTTATGTTAACTTTTGTTTAGCTCGTGAATTGTTCTTGCTAGGTGTTGGCCGAAATTAAAATGACTGATTTGTCTGCTTTATTATTTTTGAGTCGCATTTGTCAAATTGCTAGCGCTTCTGAATTTTCAAATTTAGTTGAATGGTGCATCATAATAATTGATTGGAAAAAAAGGTGGACCGGAGTGAATGGTTCGACCAGAAAACTGATGAACCAGTGTCCGGTTCATTTTGCACACACTATTAACTGACCAGCACCACGTCTATTTTTTAGACTTGGTTGCTGTTTTAAATTTCTTTTCTGTAGTTTCTGTTTAATCTGGTTTTCTAGACTAGAACGTCCTCAATTACGAAAAAAAACTTAAAAAGTTCAATGTCTTATAGCTGCAAAGGCTCAAATATGAAGTGGTGTATAGCTGAGGTATGACATAATGGTCTCTCTCTTAGCTTTTAGATATGATGTAGATATTTCAGTTACTTTTTTTATGTAAGACTTCTAAGTAGTCTTTTTTTTTTTTTTTAAGTTCCATATATGTTGAATGTTTAGATGTTTCATTTATTGTTTAATGTGAGAATTTGAAGTATTAAATAACATAATGGATATTCTTTATTTGTTTTATTCTTTATTAAATAGAAATTAAGTAATGTATTTCAGAGCTATATTGGTTAATATTTTATTTTATATGGTATTTGTTGGATAATTATTATTTAGCTTCTGATTATTTATTTATTTATTTTATCTGGCAAGGCATACAATATGGTCTAATTTATTACTAAATACATTATATAATATTAAAAAATATTATACAATGTATAATGAAGGTTAACCAAAAATCTTTTTGAGCCGAATGAAGATTCAACATCAAGTTACAAAGGTTTAAATATGAAGTCATATAAGTAATGTTTATCTTCCAAGTATAACGCTCTTTTTAAAAAATAAAAATAAAATCTTTTGTATATGTTGTATGCTTGAATGTTTAACTTATAGTCCAGCAATAAGTAACATAATGGAATTTTTTTTTTAATTAATATTTGTTAAATTATTATTATTATCTGGAATCCAGACAAATTCAACAACAATTAAACAACAAATATATTGCTTACCAAAAAAAAAAAAACCAACAAAGATATTGATATCACAATACCTAGACATTACGGAGATAATAACAAGTAAACGCAACAAAGAAATGATAAGGAAATACAAAAGGGAGAACCATGAAAAAGAGAGTAAAACACCAAAAGACCTCACTCATTCTCAAAGCCAATATACCTAGGCCCAAGAGGTCCTTTCTCAAATTCTCACTCACCAAATAGCTTAATATATGCCTCGTTTTCTTCACGTCTCCTTCACCTTATATTAGTTACAACCTCCTACTTTTCTCTCTCCTTTAACTAACTCTATTGGGCTCTTCTACAGTGCTGGATCTGGGCCCACTTGTCATAGCCCGACAATAATCCCCTTCCAAGACTCACCTTGTCCTCAAGGTGAAGGAAGGAACCAAGATCAGTGTGAGAGGACTATCCACCTGGGTCCCATTGCTTAAAGGATAATGCTTATTTTTTTTATACAAATAATGCTATATTTTTAGTGTCATTTCTGCATGCTTCATTAACCTTATTGTGTTTTAGCCATGGAGGGAAATTGTAACATCCCGAGCGCTAACGAGGGCGGGGAGTAATCGCCAGTGCAAAGAGGCACAGACAAGGAGCGGCTCCTGACAGGCTTCCAGCGGGGGGTTACATGCATGAATGAATCAAATCGACATCCGAAAGAGAGGGATTCCAAAGGCTATGCAGGTATAAGACTGCACAGTTTGGGATAACTTATAAGAATTGATTGGTACTACCTATGCTAACAAGATGCATCTACTTTTCAGTAGCCCGGAATGGAAAAACTTTATAGTTAAGCGTGCTTGACTTGGGGCAATTCTGGGATGGGTGACTTCCTGGGAAGTGTGCGAGTGAGGACAAAGCACACTGAAAAGTCTCGTGTTAGTGTGTGGGGACAGTCGTTAATCCTTGCAAGTTGCCAGGCGTTACAAGTGGTATCAGAGCAGGCCTCTCTTCCAGTACGGTGTGGTTCGAGGACGAACCAAGCGGAAGCTGGTGGGCATGTAACATCCCGAGCGCTGACGAGGGCGGGGAGTGATTGCCGGTGGAAAGAGGCACGGACAAGGAGCGACTCCTGACAGGCTTTCAGCGGGGGGTTACATGCATGAATGAATCGAATCGACACCCGAAAGAGAGGGATTCCAAAGGCTGTGCAGGTATAAGACTGCACAGTTTGTGATAGCTTATAAGAATTAATTGGTACTACCTATGCTAACAAGATGCATCTGCTTTTCGGTAGCCCGAATCGGAAGAACTCCACAGTTAAGCGTGCTTGACTTGGAGCAATTCTGGGATGGGTGACCTCCTGGGAAAACAAGTGTGCGAGTGAGGAAAAAGCACACTGAAAAGTCGTGTGTTAGTATGTGGGGATAGTCGTTGATTCTTGAAGCAGCTGGATGTTACAGAAATCCCACATATCTTGTATTCTTTTTAGTTGATCCACTGATTTTGGCTTATGTGGTTTATTTTTCTCTTAGCCAGTTATTATTTTTAGCATCAACCCAGATTTAATCACTTCAAGATTTAGGTCTTGGTCCAACAAAATTGTTTAAGTTATTTTGATACAACCCATCTTAACATCTTTTCTTCTAACACAAATTTCCTTTGGGCTAGGTCTATTAGGTCAAGAAATTTACCTACCTTTTCCAAGGCCAATTTTGTCCTCCTTTCTCTCTCTTCCTATGTAGCTTCGACTAGGGGCGGACCCACGTAGGTGCACGTGACCGCACTTGCAGACATGAATATTTAAAAAAAAATCTTAAAAAAAATTAGAGTTTGCAACAAATTTCTCCACACGCTACCTCTCCCATTTTTTCTCTCTAATGCTGCAAATTTGATTGACTAAGACAACACGGTGGAGCAAGGGAAACACCGCTTCTCTCTCTCTTGTACAATAACTTCATCTTGATGATAAGAATGAACTGTGAATTCAAAAAAAAAAGACATGGACATGACTCTGAATCTCTATTGTTGTGCTTAGCTTCCCTGTGCCTAGAATGTCAGAGGTATATGCTTGAATTTGCATACATGTAAACTTTCAAATACACACACACACTTAGCTGCCTGCTTGCTTTACTAAATTAGTAGATTGATAATTCATTTATCTAATTTTCATTCAACGTTGTAGAATCAGTAGTACAAGTATATATATATCTTCCCAGTTATACATTCTTAGTATAATACACTCATAGAATAGTATGTAATCGTGCCTTGAGTGAAGTGATAAGGGTTGATATTTTGGCCTTCTGCATTTTTCGACAATCCTACCGTGTAAATAGTTACTATCCCATCCGCAGAACCCTGATGCACAAGCGTGAAAATAAAGGAAAATTTTAGTTATTTTATCTTGTCGTATGGAAGATTATTCAAACTTCGAAGTAACTATTCTTTTTGATAAAACAAAGAAACTATTCTTCTTTTGATAGCAAGAAAACGGAAAATTACCTTTCTTGTTTGATAGTAATTTTTTCCAATGGGTAATTATATTAATAAATTCTCAAAATTCTCACGTGCGCTACGTGGGTCCACCCCTGGCTCCATTACGTCATAATTGTAATTGATCATCTAGGGAGAACATTAAATGTTTACATGTTAACTTTGCCTGGCCAGAACATGTTCATACAAGTGAACGTAAATTGATGTGATTAATTTGTACATTTACTATTTACAAGTTACAACAACATAAAAGCACTGAAAGAATTACAAAAAATGAGAGAAAAAATGATAAAGCCTATTTTTCTCTTAATTAAAGTGGCATTTGAAAAACTATGAACTAATAAAGCAATTCAAAATATCAAATACAAGCAAACTTACAATGGAAAAGAAACCTCATTAACAGCGTCCCCCACTTTCTTCAATCATCAATCCTTTTAGACTCTTGGCTAACCAAATGGCTGTCTCCCTTGGGGAAACCTTATCTTTTCCAAAGGGCTTCAGAACAACTACAAGTTCCTCCAATCTATCCCTTACAATGTTGATAAATTTACTAACATCTACATTTTGAACTCCCATCTCCACATATTCCTTCACTGGCTGCTCATTCCCCACACGGTAACTGTTATGGCGTATAACATGGATGACATCATCAAAAGCTAGAGGAAAATGGCCAGCAACTTGTCTCTCTAGTGCTGGATTATGTAAAACTGTTTCTTTCTCTTGCAAAACTTTCTGGCTTGAAATTTCAATAGAGATAATCAAGGGAGCACTTTTAGTCACTGATGAAATTTTTTCCCTTGCCATGAATTTGTCATCACCAATAGAGATGCACATGAGTTTTGGCTGGCTAGCTTGATCATGCCTAAACTTTGGTTAATTCTCGAAAGCTTTACTTTTGAAGTGGAAGCAAAAATTGGATCATGATGTTGAAACATTGAGAGCACAAACAATTGCGGGTTCGTAGTAATTCGATAAGTCTCAATGAAAGGTAACTTTCTATATTTATTTATTTGTTATAACTGTTTTAATAGCAACAAACGGTATAATTGATATTTATTTTTGGATTTTTAGGTTGTAACTGTTTCACTAACATAATGAGTATAATTGATTTAAGTATAAATTATGATTTGTCAGGGATACAATCTTATTTCAAACGTCTAAAACCCACAAATACAGAACCCGGATCTCAAAGTGAACAAGTTTCAAATAGTATTTCAGTTCCAATTGTCCAAGAATCCTATCAACCTCAAAGACAAAATGTTTCAATTGTGGAAAATTCTCCTTAAGATCAAAGACAAAATGTACCACCACAAGCATCTCAATTTCAAAGTTTTCAATCACCACCTCAAGCAAAAGTTAATATAGAAAATCTTGAAGGGGATCCGGGAAAAAGACCTTCAATTTATTCAATGACACCAAATCCTAGAGAGAGAGAGGATATTCAGAGAGCTTATTTGCTCAAGGGGACAATTCTTAAACCATTCCCTCAAATGGAAATGTATGGAAAAATGCGTAGATTCAATCCTAAGTGGTATGAAGAATTTGGTTCTTGGTTGGAGTATAGTGTATCACAAGATGCATGTTATTGCTTGTATTGTTATCTATTTGATATGGACGTTGGAGGTAGTGGTTCGACGCATGAATCATTTGTTAGTGTGGGGTTCAAAAATTGGCAAAAGAAGGACATAATCAAAGTTCATATTGGAGATCATATGGGTGTTCATAATAGATGTTATCAAACTGGTCAAGATTTGATGAAGCAAAAACAACATATTGATATTGCCTTTTCAAATATTTCTGAGCAACAAATAATTGATTATCGTATTCGGCTTAAAGCTTCTTTAGATTGTGCAAGATACCTACTACGAAATGGTCAGCCTTTTAGGTGACATGATGAATCTGAAAGTTCAAATCAACAAGGTTTATTTCTTGAAACTCTAAAGTTTTATACTAAGCCAAATAAAGAGATGAGTCATGTGGTCTTGCAAAATGCCCCTGATAATCACAAAATGACTTCACCAAAAATTCAGAAAGATCTTGCTTAAGCTTGTGCTGATTTGACTGTTAAAGCAATAATTATTGATCTCGAAAATGATTACTTTTCGTTGTTAGTTGATGAAGCTCGTGCTGTTGCAATTAAAGAACAAATGGAAGTTTTACTTCGGTATGTAAACAAAAAGGGGTCCATTATTGAATGTTTTATTGACATAATTCATGTTTCAGATACTACTGCACAATCACTAAAAGTTGTGATTGATGGGTTGTTTTCTAAACTCGGTTTAAGTTTGTCTAAATGTCGCGATCAAGGCTATGATGGTGCTAGTAATATACGGGGTGAATTTAAAGGGCTTAAGAGTTTGATTTTGGCAGACAACAAATCTGCATTCTATATTCATTGTTTTTCTCATCAGTTACAATTGGCACTTGTGAAGGTTGCAAAACATTATAAGAAGATTCAAGAATTTTTTGACATGCTTCAAAAGATGGCTACCGTTGTGGGGGGGGGGGGGGGTTCATGTAAGCGGAAAGAAATTCTTCTAATGAATCAATATGACCAAATAGTTGAAAGAATTGCTCGCAGTGAAATAATAACTGGAAAAGGTTTGAATCTAGAGAGCCCTTAAAGTGACCTGGAGACACTCGTTGGGGTTCCCATTTTGGTACAGTTACAAGTGTTATCTCATTATTTTCTCCAATAATTTCCTTGATGAAAATTATTGAGACGAGCCTAAGAATGATGCTGCAAGAACTGATGCAGGTTGCATTTTGTATGCCATGGAGGATTTTGAGTTTGCATTCTTGTTGCATCTTATGAAACTTATCTTGGGGATTTCTTATGAGTTGTCACAAGCACTACAAAGAAAAGATCAAGACCTTTTAAATGCAATTGGTTTAGTAAAGGTAGTCAAGTCACGCTTACAAGAGGTGAGAGATAATGGCTTTGATGAATTGCTTCAAGAAACAAACATATTTGCCAATAAATATGATATTGACATTCCAAATATGGAAGATGTTTATTGTCCTAAAGGAAGAACAAGACGGAGATTAGAATCATTCACATTCTTGCACTATTTTAAGGTAGAGTTATTTAATAGAGTGATAGATACTCAGGTTCAAGAGTTGGGTGATCGATTTGATAATGTCAATACCAAGTTTCTTGAGTGTTTGAGTTGTCTTGATCCTCGTGATTCATCTGCTACTTTTAACAAAGAAAAGTTGATTGAGTTTGCTAGATTTTATCCTTTGGAGTTTGATGAGCTTGCATATATTCATTTTCTTTCTTCAAGTCTGAGTAATTTCATTGTTGATGTAGGAGCTGATTCTGATTTTGTCAATTTGAAAAGAATTTTTGAACTTGCTTTAAAGATGGTTGAGAAGAGAAAGGATATTGTTTATCCATTGGTCTATTTGTTGATAAACTTGGCACTCCTTTTACCGGTAGCAACTGCTAGTGTTGAGCGAGTTTTTTTTGCAATGACTTTTGTTAAAGATAAGCTGTGCAATTGGATAAGTGATGATTGGTTAGCATGTATGCTAACTTATGTTGAACGTGATATATTTGATAAGATTGATGATGAAGATATAATGCAATATTTTCAAGCAATGAAGAATAGAAGAATGCTTTTGTGATCGTTCTATTGTAATAGCTTAGTTAGCTGTTGATTTTTTTTTTATGTTAAGTTGATGTTTTCTTTTCTTTTCTTGTTTAGATTCTTTTGTTTTTTAACGCATTTAAAAATTCAATTAGATGGTTTGGCCACTTTGGGACTTTTTTGCATTTTCCTCCATCTCAGTGTACCAGTTTTTCATGGAGGTTAGTCACTGTTAATTTTGCAATTCAGATGTTAAATACCTTTTTTGTGTTGAGATTAAATGTCTGTAATTCTTATGGCAGAATATTGTTTTTCAGGTAGTAACTGAAGAGATATGATGGCTTGATTCTTTGGGTTTGCACACTTCAATCGCTCAACTCAACAATCATTGTACATAGCTTTACTGGTAACATTTAATTTATACATCATTTTTTACTAGTTTATGTTTATATCTGCCTAGAATTGCTATTTTTTTTATCATTTAAATTAGGGAAATATTACTCTCATGTGACATGAGAGAACAATTTAGAGGACAGAAGAGAGAGAATAAAGGAGAAAAAAAAATAAAGAGTGGGCCCCACCCTTGATTTGTGAGCTATGATGCACTGACACCGACACGAGACACGAGGCACGACATGCTGATACGTTAATTCTAAAAAATGCCATATTTCGACAGCTTGGGACACGTTTTGATATTAAATAAAATTTTTAATATATATAATATAATTTATACTTAATACATATAACAACCCATAATAAGTATATAATCAATCAAATATTCAAATTTTATAACATAAATATAAACAAAAGTAATTTTTCATGTCAAATTTTATAATAGAAAAAAATTGATTTATAAATTATTTTTTTATATTTAGTTAATAAAATAAAATTAAGACTGGAAAAAAAAACGTGACAGATGCGTGTCCAGAGCGTTGACCGCGTGTCGGAAAAAGTTGACTGCGTGTCGGAACGTGTCAGAGAGTTGATTGCGTGTCCCAAAATATTGACCGCGTGTCAGAACGTGTCGGAGCGTGTCGATGTTCGACACGTGTCCGACACGCATATTTTTTAGAAAATAGTGTGTCCGTGCTTCTGAGTTTGTGAGTGCATGAGAGAAAAAATCTCTCATGTCAAATGAGAGTCATATTTCTCTTTATATTATGGATAAAAGATTTCTCTAGTCAATAGAGATATGTTATCTCCGGTAAGTCCAAAATGACGTCATTTTGGGTGAAAATCAAGGTGTTTTTGTAATTCTAAGATATTGTAGGATTATATTAATCTTTATCATTATAATTTTTTAATCTTATAACCCAAAACGATGTCATTTTGAGCTCACTGAAAATAACTTTATCTCCGTGACCGGAGAAAAACTTCTCCCTTATATTATACCATATATTTAGATATTGTACTTAGAGTTTATGTAAGACTTTGAAAAACACTAACAAACATAATGGTTATCTTTAATATATTATCTTGCACTTTAATTATGTAATATTAAAAAATATGTCTAATTATCACAGTTTTAAAGCATCATGGTACATAGGGGTGAAACTGGGTATATTTCATAAAATAGGCCGAGCTTAGGCCTTGAAACTGGGCCGGCTCGACCTGTAGGGGCCTACGGCTCGGCCTACGTCAGGCCAGACCTAACCTAGTATATTTCATAAAATAGGCTGAGCTTGGGCCTTGAAAAACTTGTTTAATAAAAAGGTCGTAGACCCATTTTCACAAGGTTTGGCCTACAAGCCTACATGTCGGCCTATATTGTACTATTTATTTTAAATAAAATAAAATAGAATAAGTATGGCTTGAAGAAAAAATAAAAGATATAAATTTAATCAATTGTAATTATTTATAACTTAATTATATTCGATTATATTTTAATAGAAATCTGACTTTATTTCTTAGGTAGGAGGAATCAAGAGCTCAGTATGTTACATTGTGTATATGAATATATTAAAAGAATTTCGGGAGATATTATATTTGGACAAATTTATTCATAGTTCTGCTTAGAAGTTAAAAATTAACAGACTAACAAATTAGGGCAGACCATTTATTTTTTTATAAACAGGTCAAGTCATGCTAACAGTTAAACTCGTTCCAAGCTTGAGCTAGGCCAAATTTAAATTTTTTGACGTATGCTTAAGTTTTTCGAAACAAAGCTTGGCCAGCTGAGCCCACTTCAACCCCTAATGATACACAATATTATCATTACGAAAAGGTTGCATTTTTACTAGACGATACCAGTATATTTAACTTTAAGTAATATATTTTCAAATTACGAAAAGAGGAAAATTAAATGAAAGATAAATTGTTCTTTTCACACCCAAAATAAGTTTGCATTTTTCTAATATTATACTATCAAAATTCAACAGTTATATACCCCTTAAAGGCCTAAACATAAAATAGATTTGGCCCATGCAGGTCTCGAACCTGCGACCTTCGCGTTATTAGCACGACGCTCTAACCAGCTGAGCTAATAGGCCATTAGTTGGTTTCTCAATTTTAATATATTAATAGTATGTTATAGACATGGTACAAAATAGACCATCTGGTTCTTCCAGCAAACGCATCGGGAGAAGAAAGAGGAACAGCTCCATTAACGGTGGTTGCTCATTGACAACACCATGAAAGAAGATTACGAGGTGCTTTCCCTTTTCTTTAGAAAATTGCTCTTTTTGTATGCTTTCAGAATTTCTTTATCATCAAACCCCCAATTCATATTTCTCCCATTTCCCAAGTGATTCAACTTCCATCAACCCCGTTTAAAAACTCTGTTAAATTCCACGCCTGAATCTTAAAAAAAGAAAAAAGAAAAAGAAATTGTTGGTAGCATCAAGTTTCGGTTTATTATTCTGTTAGTTGTTTATTTTTCCTGCATCATCACACAATGTTAAGCCTTGTTTACACACTATCAATTTTGCTAGGTTAAATTAGGTTATTACACGGTAATGAAAAGGTATCACTCACAAGTCCTGTTATCTTTTTACCTTGGTGAAATACCATTTACTAGAGAACCCATAAACAGCTTAGAATATCCAAAATCTGTATGAAAAAGCTTGCATCTAAAACAGCCTATTAGGGTTTTGATTGAAATGTGTGGATAAAAGGGTTACTGGTTCGATTCATTCATTCGTAGGTCATCTATAGGTAACCACTATGAGCCTTTACTGAGGTTTGTGTGTGGCATGCTCTGAGGGCCTTAGAATAGGGCAACCTCCCCTAAACTTTTATTTGAACCACCACTTCCCATTAAACCCTGATAAACGAGGATAGGAGAAAGGGCAATCCTTGTACGCGGTCTTATGCTGCGTAAAAGAACATCTTATTGAAATGGCAAGTAGCTTAAAATTTATATGCTTTGAACAGATAAAATATACTCGTGTAGGTCAAGCTTTCCTTGAATTTAGTACACCAGGGCTATACACTTTTCCAAGTTGTTGAGCTTCCTGTCAAGAGACAAGATGTGGCCATTTTGGGTGTGGTTTATCTGATTGAGACTTTCATTGCTTTCTCATTTGTATAAAGCTATGCTCTTGATAATTCTATTAACATGTGAAGTAAACCTTACACTTTTGTCTGAAATTTCCCTCTATGATTATTCAGATACTTGTTGTCTGAAACTGAGTGACTATGTGATTGAATCTCATTTTGGTTGCTGGATGTGTGCTTCTATTGTCTTAACTGATTTTCTACTGTATAAGTATGTATGAAGGCAAGAAAGCTATCTTTTTTTTTTTTTTTTTTGATACAATGGTAACACTGAGGTTTGAATCTATGACCTTGTGCAAACTACTCAAACCCCTCACCACTAGACCAATCTTAGTGGCTTCAGGAAAGCTATCTTTTTTTGGGTAAATTGGGATATTATGGTGCAAAATCCAGAAACATAAATATTAACAATATTGCTTGTAATTGAATTCATTAATGTTAAACCATTAACAATAAGGCTTTGTATGATATCACATTTCATATGATGTCCCTTAACTGAAGGAAATGGCAGAACATTTGGTTTTGAACATTAGCAAAAAACTTCAACATATAAAATTCAAAATTGCCTGGGGTTTTTGATCTGTTCGAGCTGACTAGTTACTGTCTGTGGGGTTATTTATATTCCCTCTTGAATCATTTATGTGAAAGAACAATATTCGGTTTCAGATTGAAGACAAAAAGCAAGCTGCTGCTGACGTATTGTTTCATTATTCAAAATTTGTGATGGCATGCATTGGAAATCAAGCTCGACCGTGCGATTTGAGGTTACATTTGATGAAGGTATGAGACAACATTCTGTGTTATTTTCTCTTTAGGAACTGTACCACTGGTTTTGTTGTTTTGTAATATGATGATTCTGTATGGTAGTTGAAGGGTTTTGAACCTGAAAACTAGCATGTCCATATTGTCATCAATCCATACTTTCTGACCTTTCATGGCTATTATAATCTTTTTAGGAGATTTCGGGTTTGCCAACTTCTCTAAATAGGGAATCTCCACAAACTGCAGCATCTCCTGATGGAATGGGTGAGTCATCAAGCTCAGGAACTGCAAGACTAGATAAAGCAGATAGTTTTAGAGCACTATAGTTGAGAGCGAATGATGACCATGTTTTTTGCTTGGGGCTGTGCTACATAGAAGAACTGTTCTCCAGCATAATGGTACACAATTTGACATAATTATGTTACCAATTATCATCTATGCAATAATGGCTCACAGACTGGTATGTAACATTGTTGCTATTTCATTTTAAATTTGCTGTAGGATGAGTGTGGTTCAACTTTGGTTCATATTAGAAGGTAATGCAGTGTTGATTCAATTCAAGTTCTCAACTAGTTGAACCTCTGTCTTTCTAGGATCTTGCAAGTTTGAATTCAGATTGTGTGCGCGTGGCTCACATGATGAATGAAACTTACGTCAAATTTGTCTTCTTTTGTCCATAAAAATTTGTGTAGTGATATTTTATTGCAAAGTTGATAATCACGTGTAGCTAGGCACCATTTGTTATTTTCTTTTTGGCGAGATAAACTTTTCGGAAATATTATATTATCGTTTTTGTTGAATATAACATCCTTATTTTACGCATAATGCAAATTTTTAAAAAAATAAATAATTATAGTTTGGGATATTGAAGAGTAATTTAAAAGGAGTTAATTGAAAAAATAGTGTATGGTTTTATTCTTTTAGGAAAAAGTGTGTGTTATTTTAAAGGATGTAAAGTTGTGTTATTTTAAGAGAAAGAAAGAAATAGATAAAGGAGGAGAGAGAGTTGATAAAAAAAATAAATGTGTGAGTCTCACCTCTTTGTGAGAGTGAAAGAATATAAGTTGTGTCATTTAAAAGGATAAACACTTTTCACATTCTTTTAATATATAAGTTTAAATAAGTAATAATCAAGTGTTTTTGTCTAGATTCGAACTCATCAAATAATTACCTCGAATTCTTATTATAAGAATATGTATATTCGTAAGGATTATTTGACTTTTAATTTATACTTATTATTTTATTAGGAGTACATGACGAAACCAAACCAATTTAAATTGTAAAATTAAACCAAGGAATTGATAAGTTTGATTTGATTTTCAGTTTGTATTTTTGAAATTGAACTAAACAAACTAAATTGAATTTGTATATTTGGTTATATAGTTTTTATAATCTGCGTACTTATGAATGAATAACTTTCATCTTATTGTAATTATATATTCAAAAATTCATTTCAAACACTTTTCAGTATTATTCATTTTTTTATGTTAACAAAAATAAAAACGTGCATTGACAAGTGTTGATAGTTGATACGTTACTTTTATGATAAACTAGTCTATGACCACTTCGCAAAGGATGGTGGTAACTGGTGCGTAAAAAGTATAAAATAGAATTAAATAAACAGTAAAATTATATGTACACTATGTATTTTTCAAAAGAAAGACGAATTATATTCATTTAACATGCAGACATTTACTAATGTCGGTGCTACGATAGCACGTTCTTGGAAGAAAGACGAATTATCTATATTTTTCAAAAGATTTGAATATGCAAATTCTACTAAATCTGAGAGTGGATCATTGGAATCATTGATCAAGATTTCATTTGAGATTTTTATGACAGAGAATCCATCAACATTGTCACCAACGTTGTCGTCACCAACATCAAGAAGCCATTCAGAGAACATTTTATCTCCATGACATTATTATTAAAACCTTGTGAATGGAGTCACATATTTTTTGTCAAGGTCAACATCTGACAATATTGCCATAGATTTGAAGAATTGATTGTTGCATGTACAATTTCTTGCCTTCCACCAAAAGGAATAACAGGCAAGATTTGTCTGAAATCAGCTCCAAGAACAACAACATTCCCACCGAATGGTTGTTCAGAACTTTTTGGATTTGAAAAATGAAGGATGTCTCTCAATGTTCGATCCAAAGCTTCGAAGCAAAATCTATAAACCATTGGTGTTTCATCCTAAATGATTAATTTAGCTCTTGATAGCAACTCAGCTTGAGCCGAATTCTGCTTTATGTTGCAAGGGGAATGTTCATTGATATCAGTTGGTATGCAGAACCGGGAATGAGCAGTTCTCCCCCCGGTAACAATAATGAAGCAATTCCACTTGAGGCAACACTAAAAACAATCTCTCCTATCGATCTGAAAGTAGCAGACAATGTTTTTTATATGAAAGTCTTTCTTATGCCTCCAAAACCATACCGAAAAAAAAAATCCACCTCTATTTACAGATGTTGCTTCCATGATTCTGTGGTACACATTTTGTTGTTCTTCTGTTAGGCATGCAAGTAAACATTCATGCTCTTTTGCCAACAAACTTCTACTATTAGACAACTCATCAATTATCAACTTATTAGTTACATCAAGAATAAATTCACCAGTAGGACAAGGCATTGTGGGATAAATAGATACACTTTTTCCGTTACTCTGTAAGCAAGTTTCAATTTTCGCAAGAGTAACGTTTTTAATCTCTTCATCAGTCATTACCAAATCTGCAGAGAATCATGCATGCAAATATATAAAAAAATTAAGATAAAGATATTCAATTACGTATTCTTGATTTATTCAAAGAACAAAGGATGATAAATTTGGACATACCTTAGCAGTTCATGTTATTTCGTTGGCGATATCCAACGATATAAGATATCGTCATATAGAAATTTTCAACAACTTTTCCATACAAATTCAGGTCACATTATATTTGAGTGAAAGTAAAAGCTCATTTCTTACACAGGCATGAAGGAACTGGTGGGCACTTGGTCAATATTCCCTACTTGACAAACTATTGCTTGGTCCCCATTGTGCGAAAGTTGCACAGTATTGAAATGGGTCATGCATGAAGAGCCTATGTCCTGTGTTCCTTTATTGCAAATTTACGTAAGAAACAAATCATTCATATTTAGTTTATATGTGGTTAAGTATACGTAGTGCATTGTAATTCGATATGTACATGAGGGATGCTTTATTTAACGATTGATCCGAGGTTTAGGTGAGTTGAGCACCAGACAACAAATTGACATCGAATCCATCTGCAAATAGTAATGTGAATTTATCAAGACAACATGGAACTACTACTATAATAATAATGGGAAACGGATAGAGCCTGACCAATGGAACAGTCTAATGAATTCAATACTGGAAATAGAGTTGATGTGTCAACGGATGGATTTAGACATTTTTTTTCTTTTGTTTTCCTTTCATTGCAGTTAGGGGTGATATACGAACCAAGGGACTTTCAGGGGCCTTTGGTAGAGATGGCAAAACGGGCTCAGCTCGGTGGGCCAACCCGCCCCACCCACTAAATGGGGCGGGGCGGGCTCATTTTTTGGCGGGTTGATGGAGGGCATAGGCGGGTCAGTGTAAAATAAGTTCGGGCTGGCGGGCCAACCCGCCAAACGAGGCGGGGCGGGCCGCCCACTTTGCCATCCCTAGCCTTTGGCTCGGCTCGTGAAGGCCTGAGCTTACATGTCTAAAATTGGTTGTTGGAACCAGGCTTGAACTTGTATAAAAGCTCGTTTAATAAAAAGGCCTCAGGCTCCAATTCAAAAACTCAGCCGTAGAGCCTCGCAGGCTGGCCTAGTATATTAACTTTTATTTATATTTTATATTTTTTATACTACTTGTAAGAGCCCTCTCTCTCTCTCCTCAATCCATTTCATCCATTTTATTGGTTAAATAGACTTTTTCAATTATTTTGTTCTATATTATGCTGTTTGGATATATATTGAATTTATAAATATTTATAAAATTACTAGTGCTGTTGATTGTATATTCTGTTTAGATACATTTTTGTTGCCTTATTATTTTTTTAAACAGGCTAAACCAGACTTTTATTTTTTGTAAATAAACCAGGCCACATGCCAATAATTATATTCATAACAAGTAACAGGCTTGGTCAGGCTGACACATTTAAACACAGACTTAGCTTTTTAAGACCAAAGCTCGACTCGGATCGGCCCGTTAACACCCCTAGTGGCAGTGAACTTCTTAACCGATTGAGCCATGAAGTCTAAAGATTATCCAGCAGGAAGTGACCACAAAGAGACCCTATTTCCTCAATTGCAATGAAAAAATAATCACATTAGCCTGAATGGTATATACTATTATTTTTTTAAGCCCAACTTGGGATGGAAAACTTCTACTATTGCTGACTCATTTAGTTTCTGTTTCTCATTTAGTTTCTGTTTCTCAATTAATTTTCGTTTGAAATATAGTTTCTGTTTTAATTGAGTTTACGTTTTTCATTTAGTTCTCATTAAGGGTATATAGTATTAAATTTTTAAGCCCAACTTGGGACGAAAAACTTCTGCTATTGCTGACTCAATTAGTTTTTGTTTCTTAATTAATTTTCATTTGAAATATAGTTTCCGTTTTCATTTAGTTTATGATTTTCATTTTTTTTCTTTGATAACATATGATTTTCATTTAGTTCCCATTAAGGGTATATATATAGTTTATTAATTTATAATTATTATTGTTATTAACTGGTTAAGTGTGAAAAGAAATTTGTTTAGACACATGACATTTTTATTCTCTAGTGACTTCTCTCTTCTAGTTATATATAGAATATTGACGGGGATCCTCTTTTTGGTATGTAACTTTTTTTTTATCAAAAGTCCTTTCATTTTTTTCTGGCTTTTCAACAAGTATTTTTGTTTTTTTTTTTTAATATCTATTTTATAATGTTACATTAATTATTTGTTTTAACTTTATTCTTAAATAATAATAAGTAAGACACAAGATTAATAGAATGATATTTTGAGTATTTTAATAAAAAATAATTTAATCAAATAAATTTAGCTTGCATACCATCGAAACTATTTATTGATCTTTTTAATTCTTATAAATAAACAAATAAAAGAATGAGAGTATTTTTTTTTACTATATTATTTTGGGGTTTGGTGTTTGTCATTTTAAATGACATAAGTTATGTCATTTTAAGAGGGAGATAGACACAGAAAAACAGAAATCATGGGAGAGAGTAAGTGAGTGATTTTTTTTAATTTAAAATTCAAATTTTCTGTGTCTGTATCTCTCTTAAAATGACATAACTTTCTGTCATTTAAAATGACAAACACTTTTCCCATTATTTTGATAAAATCTTTTAGTTCTACATTAATCAGATAATAGTTTTGAATTTTGCATTAAATTACTCAAAGTGCCCTTCTTCAGTTATTATTTCACGTTCATATTGACCACCGAGAATATGTAATTTTGCATTAAATTACTCAAAGTGCCCTTCTCCAACCACTAATCTTTTGGAGAATATGATTTTATGTCACTTCTTAGTGTCATTTCTAAATCAGTTTGCGTTCGGAGAAGGAAAAAATTACAATGGAGAGAACTGTAATTATAACGTTTAAGTGGGATTGATAAATTGTTGAAAACAAAATGATGAGAAAATTACTTTTTTTAAAAAAAAATTAAATAATTGATACATTATGTTAAACCATTCTTTAATTTTAAATAAATAACAATGTTGTTTATTTAAAATCATTATGATTTTTTTTTTATACATTCTTCTTATTTTTGAAATGTAAGTGGAAACACTCGTAGATGGAAATAATGTTTGATGTTTGAAGAATGTTCAGGAAAATCTCACAAGTAAAAGTTTAAAATTAAGAAGATCCTATCAATAAATTAAACAAGATATTATAACAGTGAGTATGATGTATTATTTTAGGCAAAATTAGTTCTTAGGGATAGAATCATTTGACATTGCTATCAAATTTTGAAATTTGACACCAAATTCTAACCGTTGATTTTCGTCAATCAACAATTATCATTTATTGAGAATCAAACTTATTAATTAATTATTAATTCTCAATAAATGATAATCGTTGATTGGTGAAAATCAACGATTAGGATTTAATGTCAAATTTTGAAATTTGATACCAATCTCCTATCACTCATAATTTGAGAAGTGTGCCTATTTTTGTTTAAAAAAATTAGTGGGGCCTGATTTGCTTCTCTCGGCCGGAAATGATGATGATCTCACATTGGTAAAGAAATCCAAAGCCTATTATTTTAATTCAAAATCTCAAGTTAATAAATTTGTAATTTATTTACAAAATAATAAAAATAAAAATAAATTTGTAATTAATTTTATGGAAAAAAATATTTATCCTTTTAAATGATATTATTTTAGTTAATTTTTTTTTATTTAATATTTAAATAAAAAAATCTCACTTTTTCCCACCATAATTTTTGTTTTTCTCATTATAAAATATAATAATTTTGACTAACATGACACAATTTTATGTCTTTTAAAATGATAAATACTAATCCGTAAATTTATTTATACAATTTTTACTTCATTTTATTTTATCAAAATAAATTTTATTATTTGTATTTGATTTTTTAATAAATATTTTTTATCCTTATGAATTAATCTTAATAAATAATTTTGCATATTTTTAATTTAAAAAATAAATTTTTTGAAATTACTTTATTCAATAAAATAAAAAATTTCCATTTTAAAATGTGTATAATTTCACCCCTCATAAAATCTCTGATTCATTTTCTATTATTATCATTAAAAAGAAAAATCATAATTAATAATACCAGATCCAATTCTGATTCCCAACGGCTATTTCTCAACGGCTACCTAGTTTTGGAAAATTTAAAACCCAGAACACTGTCTTTCTTCTCTGAAATCACACCTTTCTTTCTTCTTCTCTGTCACTGCCCCCATTCCTCTTCTTCTTCTTCTTCTTCTTCTGCTTCCCTACCACTGTCCATTTTATTCTCCTGCAAAAAAAGCTGATCAACCCCACCATAGAAAAGATTTAATCTTTTCACTATGATGCAAGACATGTGGAATGCTCCTCCAGGTTTCAGACCCTCCAAGTCTGCACCATCTTCTCCGGCAAAGCCTCTTGGGGTTTCTAGAACTCGCTCTGAATCTTTCCACGTTGCCCACAAGGTCCCAGTTGGTGATTCTCCTTATGTCAGAGCCAAAAACGTTCAGGTAAATTAAAATTGGCTTCTGGGGTGTTCTTCGGTGTTCTTTCTTTTCTTTCTTTCTTAAAGTCTCTTTTTTTTTTTCTCTTTGGATATTATCATATTTCAAGTTTCAACTAACGGGCATGTCTTGTTCTTTTGTTTCTTTTCTATGTTCAGTTAGTGGATAAGGACCCAGAGAGAGCAATTCCACTGTTTTGGGCAGCCATAAATGCAGGAGATAGAGTGGATAGTGCTTTGAAAGATATGGCTATTGTGATGAAACAGCAGAATCGAGCTGATGAAGCAATTGAAGCCATTATATCACTTCGAAGTAGATGTTCAGATCAAGCCCAAGAATCTCTTGATAATATCCTCTTAGATCTTTACAAGGTATTTCATTTCTTACCAAATTTATATTGGTTTTGATGTTTTTCATGTTGTAGGAGATAATTTTATCTTGTGCACACAATTTTTATTTTATTTATTTTTAGGGTTTAGGGTTTAGGATTTAATTTTTATATAGGAGATAATTTCACTTGCTATTACATAAGAGACCTTAAACTCAATTATATTTTGTTTATAAACTAGTTCTTACATCACTACCAACACTAACAAAGTAACAAATTTTTTTTTTTCTTTTTGGACAGAGGTGTGGGAGACTTGATGACCAAATTGCTCTTTTGAGGCACAAGCTGTATTTGATTCAAAAAGGGTTGGCTTTCAATGGAAAGCGCACAAAGACTGCAAGATCTCAAGGGAAGAAGTTTCAAGTCTCTGTGGAGCAAGAAGCCACTAGATTACTGGTAAGAAGAGATAAGATAATCTAGGTGAATTTTTTTTTTTTTTTTTTGGTACATTGCCAGGAGGTATCCCCATTCAACCTTCTCCGGGCACCATGCCCTCGGGGTACGGCCCGTTTGGGCTAGCCCCTCATTGTAACCGTGGGTGCACTAAGCTTCGCAACCGGAGAAAGGACGAGACTAATCCCCCAACCGAAGATTTTTTGGCTTATCCTCTGGCCCCCAAAGATTTTTCAAGAAACTACTTGAGGCAGGATTTGATCCCTGCACCAAGCAATCCCTTGGGAGCTCAGCTGCCAACTGAGCTACCCTTGGGGGTTCTAGGTGAATTTTTTTACTCTTTGATTTTGTGGCCTTAAACAAAAAAACTGAATTCAACTTGTTGAATGTGTAGGGAAACTTGGGATGGGCACTGATGCAGCAGAACAACTACATTGAAGCAGAAGAAGCCTACAGAAGTGCACTTTCAATAGCTCCAGATAACAACAAGATGTGCAATTTGGGGATATGTTTGATGAAGCAAGGTAGAATTGGTGAAGCAAAAGAAACTCTGTATAGGGTAAAGCCAGCAGTTACAGATGGCCCAAGAGGCTCAGATTCTCATCTGAAAGCCTATGAAAGGGCACAACAAATGCTCAAAGACCTTCAGTCTGAGATGATGAATAAGGGAGGAGGGGATAGGATTGAACAAAGAAGGCTCTTCGAAGCTTTTCTTGGTTCTTCATCAATCTGGCAACCTCAACCTTGTAAAGACCACACAACCTTGCCAGCAACTAATTCAGTCAAAACCAAAGATTTCAATGATTTTGCTGATGAGAACATCAATTCCAACATAATAACAATTCACACCACAGAAGCACAGCTTAAAAGTGGTAGTAATAGTAGCAAACAGGTTGTTGCAATGTTGGCGAACTCACTCAATGTTGCAGCCCCACCATTTTATGCATCAAAATCTTTCAAGGAGCCTATCTCAAGAGGAGAGTCAATTGAGAATCAGTTCTGTGAGACCCTTAAGAGAACAAGGTCTGGAAATGATGCAGGCTTCATGAGAGTGAATGATGTGGGGGAGATCAACAAGTTGCATATGGAGTTAAGGGTACCAGAGAACAAAACAAGAAGGCTCTCAATAGAGGAAAATGAGAAGAATTTTGAAGACTTGTTACCTGACAACAAGGATTTTGAAGATGCTATTCTTGCTGCAGTTTTGGGACCTTTAAATGAGTCTGATAAATCCAATGATGACACAAGCAGCAGCAGCAGCACCTCCTCCGGGGTTTTCAAAAGGATAACTGATAAGAGACTTAAAGTTTTTCAAGATATTACATTATCTTTGAGTCCAAGGGCCTGAACCAATTTAATTTATTCATCAATAAATTCTCAATAAAATAGTTAATAGGGTTGGAGATGAACTTGGTCTCCATATTTTTTAACTTCATTTTCCTCAGAGGAAGAAGTATGCTACATAGCAGTTTTAGGGATAGGAGTAGCCGCATGGTAAACTTTTGTGGCATTTGTTCCCTTCAATTGTCTTTATTTATTATCTACTTATTTGTTTATGCATTGTAAACGAGTCACATTATTGACTTTTGAATAAGTTAATATGAAATCGAATCAAATGACAAAAAGGTTACTTGCCTCATTCTGTGCCTCACCCGGAGAAGTATTTGAAATTTAGGCAGGTTCACAAGTTAGAATCACCAATTCACTTGATCTTTTGTTCACTTCAAATAAGTGAGTAACCCAGGATTAAATTGCAGAATTTCAATTTTAAGAACCCAGGATTAAGTGAGTAGTAACCCAGGATTAAATTGCAGAATTAACATTTTAATAAAATTAAAACAAAAAATGTCATCTTCTCAATGGGATACTGATATTGCTGATCGATGATTGCAATATTAATTACTACGAATTGCCTAGTTGATAAAACATTGCTCAGGGGAGTTATATAGTCTAAACACTGCTCATTTTATTTTTATTTTTTCGGTTTTATAGTATTTTCAAATTTTGTTCTTATTTAAAATTTAATAGATTTTTGATTTTTTATTAATTATTTTGTTGGTTATTCTTACACTATAAAATAATTCTCTTTCTAAACTACTTTTGTTCAATCTATTTTCACGAGTATTTAAATCTACATTCTTCTTTGCTACAAATGGAAATAAGAATAAGAATAAAAATAAATGGGTTCTCACACATGGGACGTTAATCATAAAAAAAAAAGTGATAGAATAATGACTGCAGATAAAATGTGTTTTTTTTTTCCCCAACTTTAATAGGTAGGTGATTACTTGAGTCTTCGGTACCACATAATACCGTGAAATTTTCCTATTTTCACGGTCAACCTTTTAAAAAATCTAAAATATAATTTATAAATACATCCTATTTTATGACAGGATTACAGAACACGTATATGCATCAGCATTTGATGTACGTATATAACGGCCCATTATGTAGTAACAAGGGGCAATTCAAGATATCGATCGATACTAATAAAGGATAGATATCCATCAAGGATACTAATCCTAATACGACAGCATAGCTAGCAGGTCTGGGCACTCACCAGAGGCACTAAAAGCCCATCTACGCTACTCACAGGTAACCTCTATAAATACAAAGGTAAACCCTAAAGGTACGTTACGCTCCCTCTCTTACTGTTATGCTGTCACTGTGCGCACACACACACCCCATTGGCTAACGCCGTTATAGTATTCTGTTACGCTCTCTCTCTTACTGTTATGCTGTCACTGTGCGCACACACACACCCCATTGGCTAACGCCGTTATAGTATTCTGTGCACAGTGATCTTCTTGACTCAAGGGTATCTCATCCATAGAGATACCTTGGAGAGGGCACTAGATCCAAGATCAAAATACCAACTTATTGAGCTGGACATCTCTGTCTCAATGACAGAACATTGGCGCCGTCTATGGGGAATTCTTCTTTGAATTTTAAGTTTCCACCAATCTGATAAGGGATGGCAATCCAGACGAGGAGTAGTAGCCAGCAGCTACCCCAAAACCAGAATCAACTGTTGGATCCAGTCCTGGAGGAGGTCAATCAGCCTCAGAACCAGATCGGAAACAATGTGGATTATGACTATGTCCAGGTCGAGGACGACATCTCAGACACTGCTCTACTCCAGCGCGTCGAGATAGGGGGGTTGAGGCGAACATGGCTCTAATAAGAAACAATCCTTCCCAGCATCCAGGAGATCTTGCTGCGCGTATTGCTCAATCGGCCGATCTGGATACTCGGTTGGCCAATAATGCATTCGCTGCGATCATGGAACGAATCGCAGAATTGGAAACTCGTAGTAACCTGCAACGACAGCGGGATTTTCGGGCAATACGGGAGGAAAATAACAGAAGAATGCGAGACCTGGAGCAGCGCTTAACACAGCTGACTGGACCAGTACCTGCCAATGGCCGAGAAGGAGCTTGGAGCCTGGTTCTACCAAACCAGGTTCCCTATGCAGAAGATCATGAAAGGCCCAACCCCGTGAATGCAGCCCGAACCAGGGAAACCAGGCTGCTAATGGCCAAAATGCTCAAAACCATCAGGCACAAGCTAATGGCTAGGAGGACCGAGTTAGGACTCATCTTGACCAGAATGATCAAAACACCCGAGGACGATTGGAACCCGGCAGATATAGAAGGAAGTACAACAGGGGGCAGTATAACAACAACCCTTTTACTGGTGAAATTCTGAACACTGCCTTCCCGGAGGACTTTGACTCAGCACGCTTGCCAAAGTACGATGGGAGCCAAGACCCACAGGTCCATATAGATGCTTTCGACACAAACATGTATATCTGAGGAATTGATAAACCCCTCATATCTTGGATATTTTCCATAACCCTAACTGGGGCAGTGCAGGCGTGGTTTTCAACCCTTTCCGCTAATTCCATCGGATAGTTCGAGGAATTCAGACAGAAGTTCCTCTTGAATTTTGCAACTAGCAAAAAACATCTAAAGTCCGAGTTCGCTCTTGGAAAGATACGACAGCAACCCGGAGAAACCCTCCACAAAATCCCTTAACTGGTTCAAGGACGCTGCATTGCAGGTCCCAGGGTTGCAAGAGAATGTCCACGTACACATCATTGTGGCAGGCTTGGATGGTGCATCCAGGCTAGCCAAGTCAGTCTATAAGGACCCAATGAGGACGCTGGAGGAATTCAGAACTCGTTCGAAGAAATATCTCGAACTAGAGCAAATGGAGATTGCAAATGCGCAATCTGATGAGGGCAAAAGGGTAAGCCCGAGAAGGAGGAGCCCAGCCCCAAAAGGGAAAGAACGAATCGACAATAAGAAAAAAGATCCTCGCCCAAGAATCCCGGACATGAGGGATCGGGTTGGAAGGTACGACAATTATACACCTTTGAATGCGTCGCGTTCTCAAATCTGGAGAGAAGTAGCAATGACGGAGATGAAGAAGGTGGAAAGACCCCGACCTATATTTGACAGAGGAGGTTTGGATAAGTCCAAATACTGTGCCTTCCATGATGGGCCGGGGCATACAACTGGTCAATGCTGGGATCTCCGAGATGTTGTGGAGAAGTTTGTAAAAGATGGACGATTGCGTCAATACGTAATCAAAACCCAAGGGTCCAAAAGCAACAAAAGGAAGTCGGGAAATAGAAAGAGAAGTAAAAGCTCGGCTCCTGAAAAGAAGAACAAGGATGAAAGGGATCGCAAAGATTATCCCAACTTCTACGAGTTCCCGGAAGCGGAATTCGATTGCAACGTAATCATGGGAGCCCTTGGAGGAGGAGGAGATACTATAAGTGCAAGAAGGAAGTACTTGAAAGAGGTCCTTTCAATTCGGGATCGTCCTAGATTTAAGGAAGATTCAAGCAAACCAGATCCTCCTTTGCTGTATTTTACGAAAGAGGACATGCATGGCGTGTTGCCGAGGCATGTTGACAGACTAGTCATCGCTGGAACCTTGGTAAACTACCGAGTTAAAAAGATTTTTGTTGATGCAGGGAGTAGTGCCGACATCATACTTTGGGACGCTTTCAAAAAGATGAACCTAGATGAGGAGGACCTCAAACCTTGCAAAACTACATTGATAGCCTTTAATGGAGAGCATACACCTCCTAAAGGCTATGTAGATCTCAGGTTGACCCTGGGAACCAAAGAAGCGTTCAAATCGGAACGGGTAAGGTTCATAGTGGCCGACTTCCCCTCAGAATATAATATAATTCTTGGAAGGCCAACTACACACCAGTGGGACATGCTGGTTTCCACGAAACACCAAAAGATAAAGATGCTAAGCAGTAAGGGTGAAATAATTACTGTTTGTGGGGATCAAAAGGAGTCTAGAGGATTCTATTTCGACACAGTTAAAGATAACGAGGATGGACATATAGGTCCACCCCGAGTTCACACAGGGGATAAACAAGGAAGGAACGCAATCCAACATTACTCTAGGAAGCCTGTCAATGTGGTTGAACTCGACATGAGAGAAGAAGTAATACCGAGACCCGAACCCGACGGAGAGCTAGAAAACCTGACACTCGGGAAAGACCCTGGCCAATTTACCCGAGTTGGTAAGACCATAGATCCCCAGCTTAAACAGGTATTGGCCGACTTTCTCAAAGGCAACACAGATGTATTTGCTTGGAAGTCGTCTGAGATCCCGGGCATCGACCCTGCCTTATGCTGTCACAAACTGGAAGCTTATTCGGGGTCCACGCCGGTTTCCTAGAAGAAAAGAAAACTGGGACCAGAAAGGAAGCAAGTTCTACAAGAACACGTCAAAGAGCTCTTAGATGCCGGGTTTATTCGGGATACATTTGCTTGCGAATGTGGTGATGGTGAAAAAACTTGTTGGACGTTTAGCAAGTGCACTAGTCGTACAAGTAATAAAATGATGAGTAAAGATCGTTCCCACGAGGAATTGTGTTCAAACACCAATATACCATAGAAAACTAATTTGAATCAGATAAAAGTTTGTAAAAATCATGAATAATTTGTTACCAGAAAATTGATTGTAAGTAATTTAACACAAAATAAATATGGATTAGGAATCAATAAAACAACAAGTAGTCAGAAAACAACTTTCCTCCACAATAACTCATGTAAAAACTGATCATATGATGAATTCCTTTCCATGTGATGTTAATCAACCTTTTACTTACCATCAAGATGTAATCCCTTACTACCCTGATAGATACATTAATCAGAAACCCCAATCCCTTGGTGATCTCTTTCTTAATACATGCATGAAATACTAAAGTTTTAAGATTACATCAGAACTCTAGCATCAATCCCTTGAGTACTAGAATTCTGATGTTGAGATTATCAAATACAGAAGTCATATAAACATCCCTGTTCTATATTACTT